AAGGTTATTTAATCAGTAGGTTAACATCTGTGGAAAATGAAGACCCGGGAAGTTAATTAGTGAACCTGAGTTCACAATGGAACAAAATAACAAGGCTACAACTAGAACTTGGCAGTTGATTTCCAGTGAAGTCCTATTTTCCTTATTCCATTTTACTTTCTTACCTGTGAAGGGGCTTTGTAACTATTGTTGGTATTTATTTACTGGCCAGGTATTTTTCCTCAATAATGTTAACATTTATAATGTGTAGAAAACTATTATTATGTAAATAGCTTAATCTTTTATTGCATGATCTTATTGGAATCTACATTTTGTAAGTAGTCCAAATTTGTAGGCCTTCTGGTTAATAAATACTATTACTCTTATCTAAAATGGAATTTTTAAAATTCTAGGATAAATAATAGATTTGTTAAATTAGTTTTAACTCTCAATCTGTGAGAATTACTATAAATATAACTGAAAATTATTTATTCTTAATCTGGAATTAAAAGAATATAATCAGGGTATCTGAAACTATGACCTCAGAAAAATGTAACATTTGATGAGATCACAGAGAATAGTCATATTAAAAAGGCTATGCAGAGAGACAATTTCCATGTTAAAGTAAATGGTATAAATATTATTCCTTTCTTATTTTTCTCCTGCATTCAGAATATTCTTTGATTAAAAAGTCAACTGCATATATTTCCCTTGTTGAAGACCCAAATTATTAAAATAGTAATAAGTGCCCTTACATCTGATTATAGAGATTTGTTCTAAAGGAGTGAATTCCATAGATACATTGATGAAGCTTTGCCTCAGTAAAGATTCTCTTCAATATGACTTGATTTGAAGATATAAAAAAATGAAATTGTGAACAAATAAATTGAAATGGAGAAATTCAAAATAATGCTAATCCAGAAAAAAACTTAGTTGGAAAATTATTTCTTACACTTTTAAACTAGTGATAGAAGCCTTTCCCCTTCATGTCTTTATTGATGTCTGCAAAGTTATTCATAAGTTGAATTTTTAAAGTTGAATCATATTTTGTCAGCAACCAATTTCCTGATTTTTAGAACTCATTAGCAGTTTCCTTTGTACCTTGAATAATTAGACTACTTTGTAAGTTACAGACTCTTCATAGGATACTGAACTATCTTTAAAGGGTATGCCAGTATAATAAAACAACATAAGGAATTGGTAGCCAACAAATGTATTTCCTAAACAATGCACTAATATGGGATTTGTTTTTCATTTCATACTGTGAATCATAAGTGATAAGTAGTGATATGTGTTTAGTAAGGATTTTCTAAGATCTTGCATATTACCTTTTAAATATAATATTTAACTCAATATCTACTTTATGGCTTATTCTTAAATATATCTTAAATGTTATACGACATATATATGAGAAAACTTGTTCTGGAGACTTGTTCCCATTTCACAGATGATTTAACTTTGATTAACCTACTCCACTGTAACAGATTATTCCAACTGGAATTTCACTCGTTGGTGTTATTTCTAGGTGCAGCCTAATTTACAGAACAGCTTTTCTTTCCATCTCACCAAAATACATCACAATTTTGATGTTAACTCTAAGTAAAAATTCAGTGGTTCATTAAACCTAGTTTTAGAATTCATTGACAAGAGATTTGTCATTTCAAAAGTAACTGCTACTTTTCTCCACTCTTTACTGCTCAGTTTGTAACCTTAGATTCCCTGTCAGAGAAAGCATGGAGTTAACCATTTAGCATGTTGTAATGAATATTCATCAGCAAATTGATGCAGCACGGCAGTCCCATTTTTTAGTCTGCCTGTACTGTTAACTCTTTTCCAGTTTTAAATATGCTATAGATTATCATGTAACAGGGACTAGCTTAGAAAATCTTTAGAACTATTAATACTATATTTTTTGGCAATAGCAATAATCTTTATTAGCTACTGTATTAGTTTATAAAACAAGTGTATTTGTTTTAGAAGAACATTTTTTTTTCCATATTGGGAATTGAACCCAGAACCTTCACACTGAGCTACATCTCCAGCCCTTTAAAAAAAATTTTTTTTTTTTTTTTTTTTTTGAGGCAAGGTCTTGCCAAGTTACCATTTTCCCAGGCCAGCCTTGAACTTGAGATCCTCCAGCCTCAGCCTCAGTCTCAGCCTCCCAGAGTACTAGGAGTAAGATCAGCTTTATGACAAAAAATACTACTTTTTGCAGTTTTTCAGAGGAACACATCATTTGTTTTTATGTTCCTAGAAATTTATTTAGCTTAATAATTTTTGAAGCTTGGGTTTTGAGTACCCGTTACAATTTTTAAGTTCAGTTTTAATGCGTATAAAAGGAGAGATGCACATGGATTCTAAAATAATATTCTGAGGGCATGTATCTAAATAGTTGATACTCGTTGAACTACAGCTAAAATAATTTATATGGACACATAGGCATGGCAAGTGCTGTATTGTAGAGAGATAACTGATCACTAACATAGTTCATCTACATTTTAAATTTTAAAAGGAAGAGTGTCTATAAACAAGATCTTTTCTGTTAAATATGTATATTATTAGGTCACTTAGCAGTAGACCACTGACCATATGCATTATGACAGGAATTCGACACCTGTCATTGAAAATGGTACTTAGAAGCCATATAATACAACAGAGTTAAAGGAGGGGACTAAGATGTGGGTAGGAGGCTGTAATTTATAATTCAGTGCTCAGGAATGACCTGTCCATGGTAACTCAAAATCTCTGTCTTGACTTTAGGGCTCACTAGTGGTGAAGCCCACTAGTTAACAAAATCAGTTAGAAAAGCTGATAGTATTAGCAGAAAATGAAACATGTATATATATTTTTTTCCTCAGACTGAATTTTTAATTGAAGTAAACATCCTCCTATTCTAAAAGTCATCTTTTAGGTTAAATAAATGTAATTAAATTATTTTATTACATTACACCTGCAGACAACTTTATGACAGAATTGTATCCCAGTTTGGCATGTATAGAATTGCCATCAGTTATACTGTTTTCAGATTAATAATTCATTATATATGAGAATTTATCAAAAAGGAATAGTGTCTTTCTGTTTGTCTGTGATTATTTTGCCCCCAAAAAAGCTTTCTTTTTTTTAAGTAGCACAAAAGCTGTAATTGGCATGCTTTGTAAGGAAGTGTCAATGTGCAAGAGAGTGGCGATCACTAAGAATTCTTTTACGTGTTCTTTCCCCTTTGCACCACCGCCTCCTCAGCAGGGTCACTGAGATCACTAGCTTTTCTTGAAATGGCCATTTTCACTGGCAGGTGCATTATACCCTGTATTTTCAGATTGTTTTTCCATTCTGAATGTTTGGCAGGTTGATTGCTCTGGCTGCATTGACGGAGAAAGGGCTGACAAATGCGGTTGGGCTGGCTGAAAAGACAGTGATTACTGTTTTCCTTTGTGGCTGATTGAGGCCCTTGAAAGGAAAAATTTTAACCTTCACCATTTGGTTCAAAGTATGAGCATATATTGAAATCATTCGTGCCATTTATCCTAGTTCTGTAAACTTGTCAGAACGTAAAAATCGCTCAATTTCAAGTAATGTAGGATTGGCATACGTCATTATCATTTTGATTAAGTTGGAGGTTGTATCATTGTGTGCATTATACAGTGTCATTTAAAGCTTTCTTTCCACAGGTACAGATATTTTTATTGCTTATACTATAGAGTTAGAAAGATTTTCATAGCTCTCTAAACCTAACACTATGTGTGTGGGTTGGCAGCTGGTGTAGCCTACAAGCTGCATTTTGTTTGCAGGGTAAAGGCTTGTCTGTAGACCTCCTGGAGTGCGGGTAATTGCAGAGGCTCGCCATTGGGGAAAGGCACAGGATTGAAAGCAGTCAAGCGGAAGAATGTTATGCCATCCCATTGCCACCTTGTATCAGAAAGACACAATCCCAGCAGTGCCATCTGGTTGTTGCTATCTAGTCAGCTGGCCTGGCTGCTGGGACCATGACTTGGCAGCTGGTTCCCATCCTTGACCATTCTTTTGTGTACGTTGTATGTGTGTGTGTTTTAGACAATTTTGTACATGGGTCAAGGAAATGACTGTTGCTAACAAGTAAAGTCCTCTTATTGAATAGGCTCTCATTACTTTGGATGCACTCTGCAGCAGATGCCTGCTGCTATTCCTTGTAGACAGATAACACATGGTTAGACAAATAAAAGTAAGCATTTTCCTCATAAAAATCTATCTTGGTTTGTAGCAAAAGAAGGTAGGCAGGGTTATATTCCTATAATAGTTTTAAATACATGATTTTAACTTCTTCATTTGGCTATGCAAGAGATTTAGTAATTTTAAAAAGTCATAAACATCGTAGATCTCAATATATATTTTTATTAAAATTAAAGAAAACATTATTTTAAGTACTTATTGCCACATCATACAACAGTAGATAATGAGACGTGCATTTAAAATGACAGAATTGGAAATGTGGTCTCATAGCTATTATCTTTAAAATCTGCCTCTCAAATAGCAACCTGAGAGTTAATGTAAGCTGTCTTTATGCCATATGAAGACCCATTAGACACTGATGGTTTCAGATCACAAGTAAACAGCCAGCTCTGTGGGCTATTTTAGACATTTGATTTTCTTCATTCTACAGCATTAATGTGTCAGCATGCTATATAAAACTATGCAGGAGTTGTATGTTGTTCTGTCTGGAATGATAAATGCTTGCAAGCTTTTAGAGGCTTCCATGAGGAATTCATCCTACTTGCTTATATATCTTATTCCTGCTTATGTAGCCTCAGAATTTAGTATGACTGTTGATTAGATCCCACAGAGGTATGTATAAAAGCCAAGAGGTTTCACCTAATTTTTTATTTAACATTGCTTTGGTAAAATTTATATTATTTGTACTTGTTCTGTCTTATAATAATGGTATACTTTTTCTTTTGTCTAGGGAGTTGTGATACTCTCTGTAATATTATTTCTCAAAAGTTATCAACTACTTTAAAAATAATTCGTTTAATTGTTCTGTTTTTTAGATGAAGAGGAAGAAGATGATGTAGTGACTCCTAAACCACCTATTGAACCTGAAGAAGAAAAAACTTTTAAAAAAGATGAAGAAAGTGATAGTAAAGGTATCTTAAAGAATTTAACTTTAAAAATTTTTGTTCATTTTTCTTACAATTTCTTTTATTATTTTATAAATAGAATAAGATGCCCTAAATCAGAGAGGCAAATCTAGTTAAAAAGAACGTGTGGCACTCCTTCATCCAAACTATGATAGTGAATTGACATGATTTGGCTGACACAAGTCATACTTCAAAAAAATTTGTTTTCCAGCTCCCCCTCATGAGCTGACTGAAGAAGAAAAACAACAAATCTTGCACTCAGAGGAATTTTTAAGTTTCTTTGACCATTCTACAAGAATTGTAGAAAGAGCTCTTTCTGAGCAAATTAACATCTTCTTTGACTACAGTGGGAGAGATCTGGAAGACAAAGAAGGGTAATCTTTAATTGCTGGGATTATAGCTTCAGCACTGTTAAATTATTTTAAGATTAAGAGTGATATAAGTTATAACACAATCTTTTTGGGGTTTGGTCTTTTTCTATAGAGAGATTCAAGCAGGTGCCAAACTATCATTAAATCGACAATTTTTTGATGAACGTTGGTCAAAGCATCGGGTTGTTAGTTGTTTGGATTGGTCATCTCAGGTAAAATACGACAAAATTAGTTACTATTAACTGAATTTCTAATTGTAATTAGTATAGAGTTTTATTTCAATTAGAGGAGTTTTGTATAATCAAATCAGTGTGCATCATTTGAAATAACAGAAGATGGTTCTAATGTTGCCATCTTCATTCTGTCTTATGTACTTTGGAAGAAAGAATTAGAAGTATTGTTTATTTTTGAAATTCAGGTCTTCATGCCAAACTCAGTTTTATTTCAGTTATTTACCAAATACTTTGTATAAAATTGAAACACATTTTAATTAAATGTTTTAATGTTAAAACATTTTCAAAAATTAACTGTACTAATTCAAAATTATACTGCTATCGTGATGAACATAACTCTAGAGCTGTTTTTCTTGAAGTGTTAGACATGTGTATTTTCAGAATAATCTGATAAAGACAGTCAAATTATTAAGAACACAAAATAGCTCTTATTATACATGGCCTTTCTTTTTCACTTGATTCTTACAAGCAGTATCCAGAGTTACTGGTGGCTTCCTATAATAATAATGAAGATGCTCCTCATGAGCCTGATGGTGTGGCCCTTGTATGGAATATGAAATACAAAAAAACTACCCCAGAGTATGTGTTCCACTGCCAGGTGAGATGGTCTTTTCACAGTCTTCCCCAAGTTTAAGGGTTCGTTAATGAATTTAGACAAGTGCCTTTTTTCTTTTCTTGTCAACATAATGATTTCATTGGATTGGCATTTACTAAACTGCTTCATATTTGCAAACAGATGTTAACAGAAAACTTAAGACTTCTTACTTCAACATGATCTGCCTTTTGTAACTTTTCTAACATATCTTATAATGTTTAACCAGACCTAAAGTTCTTTGCACTTGTTATTTTCTTTTGCTGTGATTGATCATGTAAAAGGAATCTTTTTAAAAAATGTTTTTTCTACAGGGAGTTTCTCAGGAACTTATTTGCTGAATATACAATTAGATGGTTGGCCCACTGAATTACTTACTTATACATGGCCTGAGGAGTGGGAACTAGATAGTTTTAAGTCGAAACATATGGCTGAAGTAGGAAACAGATGCAGGTTTTTAAAGTGGATTTAGTACAAGCTTAGAATGTACAAGTCTTTCCTGGTTGCATAAGTTAAAATCTTTAATAATGTCATAATCCCAAGCAAACACCTAAATCAAAACTAGTACATTGTTCTACTGTCAGATTACAGTCAGAGGTCAATCATGGGGCCAGTTGCCTTTTAATACTATAATCTGTGAAATAATTTTTTGCTTTGATAAATTGCTTAAACATACTTATGTAAACAGTCATTGCATTTGACTTTTAAGCAAAAAATATTCTAAAGATCTATTTTTATATTTCTGAAACAAAATGAAAATATTGATGAAGTTATTGACTTGTTTTATAACTTCCAGTACCTGACAACAAAGAGGGAAATGTCTTCGATGTATACATTTATTTTTATAATTTGTCAGATTTTTTCCATTTAAATTTTAATTATAAAAATCCTACTTATTAACAGTCAGCTGTGATGTCTGCTACGTTTGCGAAATTTCATCCAAATCTTGTTGTTGGTGGTACATATTCAGGCCAAATTGTGCTTTGGGATAACCGTAGCAACAAAAGAACTCCAGTCCAAAGAACACCACTGTCGGCTGCTGCACATACAGTAAGTAAATAAGGTTATTTCCATCAGACTTCTGTGCTCCTTCACTATTAACTACTTAGTGGTGTCCATCAGATTGGTTTCAGAATGTGCTTCCTTTGATGTGTGAATTCTTTACCATTTAGTAACCAAGAACAACACCTTTTTTCAATATTTTTAGGGATCCATTTATCAGAAACTCGTCTTTTCTGAGACAGTCTTTTGTTAATCTACAGAAAAATAGCAAACTTCATATGAAACATACCTTCAAGTTATAACTTTTTGAGATGAAACAAAATACCTATTATTAAACTAAAACTTCTGTTGTATTTTTTAGTAAATTAATTCCTAAAAACTTTCTTTAATGTCTCTAGCACCCTGTCTATTGTGTAAATGTTGTTGGAACACAAAATGCACACAATCTGATTAGCATCTCTACTGACGGAAAAATTTGTTCATGGAGTCTGGACATGCTTTCTCATCCACAGGTATTTTAAGCTTGAAACTGAAATTTTGAGGTTTTCAGTGTGTATATACCCCAATATATGTTATTTATAAACTAATTATTATAAGTTATAAATCTAAATGTGTTAAATATAGTTTTCTGTGTATATATTTTATTTCCAAACATGCTTCCTTAAAGAAGGTATGTTTGTGCAAATAGTATATTAAAATAATGGTTTACAAATCAGTTAAAACTAAAATTTTTCTATGAAAACTTTGAATGCTTGCAAATATTCAATTTTTTCTATGTAGGATAGCATGGAGTTGGTTCATAAACAGTCAAAGGCAGTAGCTGTGACATCTATGTCCTTCCCTGTTGGAGATGTCAACAACTTTGTTGTTGGGAGTGAAGAAGGTTCTGTGTACACAGCATGCCGCCACGGCAGGTAAACCTAAACTAGAATTTTCAGTTATTAAAATTCTCCCTTGAATAACTTATTGAATCAGATTGCCCTTATTTAAGTGGAAATCTGTCCTAGAGCTACTTTTGTGACAGATTGAGTTTAGGCATATAAAGTTAAAGGTTAAATTTTAAGTTCTTTGATTTCATGTGTCCTGAATTTTGTGGGTTGTGGTGTATTGTCATTTTGTGCATACATGCACTCACAGAAGTTACTAGTAGAGAGGAACATTCAGCAGTTACAAATGCAGTGTGCACATGCAGCATACTGGCCTTCAAATTTATAAATAAGATCTTCAGCCATTTTCCTATTTTTATTTATTTGGACTTTGAGCTTTAGTTCAGTCCTCCTGATAATTGTACAGTAATGTCACCTACACATTTTAAATTTACTAGTATTTCTCCTGCTGTTCAATCTATTTTTGAAATTGTCTAGCTGGACCTTATCAATTGCTTCCCTTAAAAAATTGTCTGAGTTTCATCTCAAAAACAGATCACCTTCACTTCAAAGCTTTTGATTTAAAAGTAGCCCAGATTGTTTCTCTTACATGTAGGATCCTTTTGTCTCTATTCTGCCAATTCAGATACTGGACTTTTGAGTTCTGTTGTCAATACCATGATGTTTATAGTTCTAAATTGTATTTACTGCCCTACTAGTGTGATCAAGTCTGAGTGGAATAACACTCAATATAAGTTATTCTCTTGCATATAAGTACACCGTTAAGTTTGTTGAAATCAAGTTAAGGTCTGGTATATAAACCCATAATAGAATGTGTTTATAAATGGTCTACTTATAAGACATTTCCCTAACATTTTCACTTTTATGAAATAGCAAAGCTGGAATCAGTGAGATGTTTGAGGGACATCAAGGACCAATCACTGGCATCCACTGTCACGCAGCTGTTGGAGCAGTAGACTTCTCACATCTTTTTGTCACATCTTCATTTGACTGGACAGTAAAACTTTGGACAACTAAGGTATCTAAAATACAAATGTCTGCTCATTTGGTCAGGCTTCTGACACAAGGTGGTGCTCTACTACCACATAGCAAAGGCGGCTTTTAAATAGCTTAGAATTGTTTGCTAATAAATCAAGCCTGGTAAGAAGCTACACAGAGCATGAGTGATATTGTTTTCATAAAAGTGTGCTGACAAATACGGTAACTCCAGACATGATCAAAGACCAGTCTTCCCACCACTTCAGACTTTTCAAGCATAGGCCTGTTTACCCTGACTGAGATGAAGAAAAAGCCCCTGAGTATCTTGCATGGTACCTCATATAGTTGTCTTTCAGCCCAACACAAAAGCCACGCATTTGCTTTTTGGAGAGCTTAGAGGCTTATTCAGAACTAGAGTGCCTCAAAGAACTGATGAGAGATGGAAAAAAGGGCAGAAACTGATTTATAAGAAGTCCTATACAATAAAGCTATACATAATAAACTTGAATCATTAAGAAAGCATTGTGAAAAGGCATGGGTGCATATTTTTGTTGTTCCGTAAAATTATTTATTACAGATTTATTTATTTATTCATTTAATTAGGTAGTTTGGTCTTAATAGGCTCAGTTATTTGAAACACCCATTTATGTCATAAAGTGCTCCCTTACCCTCCAGCAATTCCAATAAATTGACTTTTTCCTATCTGACTGAAAATCTCAAGACAAATCCAAGTAGAGAATATTATATCCTGTAGTAGACTTTGTAGTTTCTTTGAACTCATTTTATAATAGAACCACCTCAACTTTGCTGTGGAGTTTTTCTGCAGTATCATACTGTTGAGAGTAAAACTGTACACTCCATATATCAGATTCTACTTAAACTAAGTTAAATTTTAAGCTTTATTTTTTTCTGTCCAACTACCTTATCCTAAATGTTGACTTTTTGAATAGTTCATGAGGCATTTAGAGACCTTGTTTTGTTCTTTGAGAAAACTTTTCTTAAGAGTGTCCTTCACTATTTTAGTGAACTCTTATGTATTTATCGAGTGCTGGCCTCAGAAATGTGGTATGAACGCAATGTTCACATTATCCTGTCTTGATGCTTCCTTTTAGTCCAGCATGAAATGAGTGAGAAGACTTTATTTCTCCAACCTTGCCTTTTAAAATTGATCACTTTTAGTTTGGCATTAGTAGACATAAAAATAGCACTTACCCTTAAGTCTAATGAAAGGAATATCTGGAAAAGTTGCTTAATATCGTGTCCAGTATGTAAAAGAAACTTAACAATGTTCAGTTTCTCTTTTTCCTTGTAGTGGGGTTCAGGCAGAGCAAAAATATACTTACTAAATCACCTGTTTCTTAGATTGTTCTTGAATTTTGTCCTTTTAATGAGATTTATACAGTGGAAGAAGGTGAAGAAAAGATTCTCACACTCATAAGCAAAGAAGTCCATGGTTTACCTTGGGAAAAAAAAATACAGAATTGGAAAGAGACAGCCATATAATTTGCTAGGTGTCTAGATGTGCTCTCATCTTGGGTCTATGTACAGTTGTCGCCCCTCCTCCCACGTATACATGTTTTGGGGATTTTTGTTTGTTTTTGAGGTACTGGGGATTGAACCCAAGGTGTTCTACTGCTGAGCTACATCCCCAGTCCTTTTTACTTTTTAGTTTAAGGCCAGGTCTATTAAGTTTCTATCCTTAAATTTGCAGTCCTCCTGCCTCACCTTCCCAAGTACCTGGGATTATAGTCATATGCCACCAGGCCTGGATGAGACATTATATCTTTATTACTGGATGAGACATTATATCTTTATTAGATTGTTGGCCAGCTTCCTGTTTGATGGTTGTAAAGATTCTTTTATCTCTTTGTACATTGATTGATTTTGTGTGTGTGTGGGTTTTTCTTTGGCACCAGAGATCGAACTCGGGACCTTGCGCTTTCAAGGCAGACGCCAGAACCACTGAGCTAAATCCCCGGCCCCATTGATTAGTTTTAAATCTCAGGGCTTTGGGTTTCCAACCTCCTTTTGGCTTTAAGTTTGAGGTTTCCATCTTTATATATATTAAGAACAAGATTTAAAAATGAGTTCTTCTTGCCTGATCAAGCGAAGAGAACTTTAACCATGCTAGCAGACTGGTTGATACTTGCTTTTGTGGTACCACATACTTAGTTGATAGGTAGTTGATATTTTTGTTCTTGCATTTTGCTATATTTCAACATAGAAGTGGCCTTTGAATAAGAATGAACACTTACCAGAACCATATTTTCCATAAAGTGACAAAGTTAAGATTGCTAATATGTTAATTGCTTAGAATAGGCACATTTTGGAGTTTTGTAGTCCATATGTACCTTGAACTTTTTCTTACTCTGTGAGGTCTCAAAGCCCCTCCTTAATTTGGCAGCTTTTCTATTTAATACTGAGAGAATACTAGCATTAAAACAGGTTTAAGAGATCCTATTAGTGCTTAGAAAAACAACTGCACATACTAGCCAAATTAAAATGAAAACATGCTTAGAAGTTGAGGATTCTTGGAGAAGGCTGACTGCTGATCCAGACTCAGTCCCATCTAGCTGCATTTACCTCAGTGACTTGCAACTGGCCAGTGTCCAGCCTCTTATTTGCATATTTAGTGACTCAATTTTGTCAGCCTACTAGAGTTGATTAGACAGGGAAGTGGTGAATGGGACTAACAGTCTCCTGAGACACTGATACGTTAGAGAATATCAATTTATTAATTTACAGTGAGAAACCTAACTGCTAGAAGGCCCAGATATTCCTGCTGGCCTGAGCAGCTCATTGTTTCCCTGTAGCAGCCCACATGGGAAGCCAAATTATAATCAGAAGATTACTTGGTGAACAAGGAATTAGAACAAAAGAAGTTTTATAATTTGAATATTCAGTGGCATCAAGCTAAGATAGCTTGATTCATTCATCTTCAAATACAGATAGCCTTGCCATGGGATAGTAATTCTCACAATCCATTGGCTGACACCCCTTCTGCCCTGGACATTGCTAAATGGGTACTATTTTCATTTTCTTTGTAAGACTGATTCTTTATACTTATTTTGCTTCTATAGACACACTTCTCAAAAAGTTAGTGTCTTCAGTCAAGTCATATAATAAGTTTTTTGGGTTTTTTTTTTTTTTTGGTACCAGGGATCGAGCTTGGGTCCTTGCGCTTGCACAGCAGGCTGCGAAACAACTGAGCTAAATCCCCGGCCCTAGTAAGTTATTTTTAACCTTGGAATTACTTTTCTTCTGATCCAAGTTGAGGACATAATTATTTGCTAGTTCTCTAGCAAACATCCCACTATTAGCATATTTCCTGTAGGTACTAAATTTACTAATCTAGAACTCTCCAATTACCCAAGCTTTGAAAAATCATCTGTAATTAGTTTTCTGTTGCTGCTATAACAAATGGGTGGCTAAAGCAACAGAAGTTTATTCCCTCACAATTTTGGAAGCTACTAATTCCAAAATGGAGGTGTTGGCAAGCTGGGTCCTTTTGGAAGTTTGGAGAGAATCTCTTCCATTATCTGTCCTGTCTCCTGGTGATTGCTAGCAATTCTTGGTGTTCCTTCACGTGTGGCTGCCTGGCTCCAGTCTCTGCCTGTGTTATCAGATGGCATTCTGCCTGTTTGTCTCACCATGTCTTTTTGTCCATCGTTTTCTGTCTATGCAGTGTGACCTCATCTTAAGTTGGAATCTTTCCATATAAGGTCACATTTACAAATATAAGATAAACATGAATTTTTGAACACTATTTAACGAAGTATGTAACTTGAGCCTAGGAAAAAGATATTGTCCCTTGATTGTACAATGTTTATTCTCACAAAAGGACCACAATGAGCTATTTTTGCTTATTCAAATGCTGTCTGTCATCACAAGAAGCTCTTTATTTTGTTTTCAATTCTTTTGGCAAATATATTTTACAAATTGTTTATGTATGAGAATTTTAGAGCTTCAGAGACCTATAGACATTATCTAGTTCTGTGGTTCTCAGTTTTGTTCTCACATTAAAATCACCTTAACAGGGCCGGGGATGTAGCTCAGTGGCACCATGCCTGCCTGGCAAGTGCAAGGTCCTGAGTTTGATCCCCTGTACCAAAAAAAAAAGACTCACCTTGACAATTTCTAAAATTTTCAGTGCTTACCTAGTACCCCAGACAAATTAATTCAGAATATCTTAGGAAGAGACCCAGGAAACAGCATATTTTTTAAAAGATTGTAGGTGGTTACAATGTACAGTCAAGCTTCAGAACCACTGGTACATAGTCTTTGTTTTATAAATGAGGAAACAGAGGCCTAGAATGATGTAATGACTTTTCCAAATCCTTAAAACTAGTTACAAGAAGGCCTAAAACAAAAGACTAAGTTCCAGGCCCCTCTTCAGGTTTTTCATGCTGCCTCTCTGCCATTTGAGCAGAAGTGCTCTTAAAGGTAAGAAAAAATGTGGTTTGCTTTGGAGAGAGAATCTTACTATATTTCCCTGGCTAGCCTTTAACTCACAATCCTCCTGCCTCAGCCTATCAAGTGCTGGGATTACAGGTGTACGCCACCACACGTGGCTTAACTTTTTAAAAATATTTTAAGTAGTCAATTTAGGATTTTAATTTGCAGTGTCATATGTAAAACAAATATATTATGCAACAATATTTGTTGTTAAATGCGTGTGCCTTTTTTCTCTCTGAAAAGAAAAATAAGATTAATCTTTGGGGGTCGGGGATTTAGCTCAGTGGCTTCGTCGCCTGCTGCGCAAGCGCAAGGACCCGAGTTCGATCCTTGGTACCCAAAAAAACCCAAAACAAAACAAAAAGAAGATTAATCCTTGGATAATTTTTTTTTTTTTTTTGGTACCAGGGATCGAACTCCGGTCCTTGCGCTTGCGCAGCAGGTGACGAAAACACTGAGCTAAATACCCAGCCCCAGATAACTATGTTTTTAAAATAAAACTTGAAATTATAAAAGTCCATAATCACACTTTTTAAAATTTGAGAGCATGTTGCCTTTTTCTTTTTTTTAAATTGTGATCTTTTACCCAGATATAATGCATCCTACTTTTGTCTCTGGCTATGTAATAGTCCACTATGTAGATGAAATATTTGACCAACCATTTCTTGATATATTTAGCAGTCTTTTTTTGTTATAAATAAGTTTTTGTCTAATTTGCTTACAGCTTTTTTTAATATTTTGTATTTTGTAAACTGAATATGTACTCACTTGTCTCTGGTTTAACATTCTAAGATTCATATTGTTGAAAGCAGCTGTAGAGTGTTCATTCTCTCTGCTATATGCTATTCCATTGTATTGTATAAATATACCATAATTTATCCATTCTTCCTGGTATTTGGGTTAATTCCATTTTGGGGCTTTTATAAATAGTTCTTTTAGGGGCATAGCTGTAGTAGTTGTTTTTGATGGATATAACCAGTCGTTTTACTGGACATTTATTGGACATGGAATTACTTGGTCATAGGCTATGCCTACATCAGCTTTGATACTACCAAGCAGTTTTCAAAGTGCTTGTACTCGTTTATAATCCACCAGTAACATATACAAGTTCTTGTGGCTCTGCATCCTTATCTGTACTTGGAATTTCCTTTTTTTTCATTTTGCTTTTTTGTTTGTTTGGGTTTTTTTGGGTACAGGGGATTGAACTCGGAACCTTGGGCTTTCAAGGCAGGCGCCGGAACCACTGAACTAAATCCCCAGCCCTCCTTTTTTTTTCATTTTAACCATTCCAGTTCATGCAGTTGCATTGTGTGGTGGTTTTCATTTGCTCTACCTTAAGTTAATAAGGTTAAGCACCCTCCCACCTCGAACTTGCAGTGATTTTCCTCAGCTTCCTGAATGCTGAGATTACCAGGCGTGCACCACATGCCCAGCCCAGAACTGTATTTTTTAAAAGCTCTGCAGATGATTGTGTTACATATTCTTAAGTGGAAAACAATTACATGGGAGTATTGTTGTCAGGGAAAGCAACAGGTAAATAAGGCCTTTTTTAAAAAATTGTTGTGCCTGGGGATGGAACCCAGGGTGTCAACCTTATTAGGCAATTGGTCTACCACTGAGCTGCATCTCCACTCCATTAATTATCTTAAAAAAATTAACTTCTATGCTTGACTCATATTAAGTTTTATTAAATTTTTTATTTTGGCTACCAAGATGATCGTGCTGTTAACATTGACTATCATAACTGAAAAACTGAAACAGTTTAAAACTTTTTACTATAGAAAATTTAAAATAGAAAAGCAGAGGGAATAGTGTGATGTAGCCAGTGTACCCATTCTGTTCTTCTGTCCATCTTCCACAATGATCAGTGCCTGCCTGGTCTTGTCTGTACCCAGGCACACATTCTCTATCTCTCTGCACCCTGGATTACTTTAAGTCAACCTAGACATGTCATTTCATCTACAGGTGTTGAGTATATATATCTAAGATAAAATATTTTTTTAAATTACCATATCATTTCTATATGCCCAAAAATGAACAGTGATTTGTTAATTTCATCAAACAGCCAGTCAGTATTCAACTTAATTATTTATTTGAAGGAAGACCCACATAAGGCCCATGGATTGATGATTGACATATCATGTAAGCCCCATCTTGAAACAAGATTTCTCTCTCTTTTTTCCTTGCTATTTTGTTCTTGAGAAAGAAAATAAGTTGGTTGTTCTATAGGGTTTCTCACAGTCTAGGTTTCATATTTTTGTTGTGTCACTTATATTATTGTGTATAGCTATATATTGTTTATGCCTATAAAGATTTACATGTCCATAAAGGGACACATCACTTGGTTATCCACCAGTTCTTATGTTGATGTCTGTTCGATCTTTTTAGTCATCTGAAGGTCATTCTATTGTACATTCTCAAAAAGTCTTCAGAGGTACATTTTCATGTTCATAGGAGCATATGGTTATGAAGATTGGTTATATGTAAAATCCATGACAAATTTTTTTGTAACCTTATTAGTTACTCTGTTGTCTTCTGGCAAAAAGCATTGTCAAAACGACTGATGACAATCAGATTTTCTTTTCCTTACTTGGGATTTGATCTTTTTAAAAATTTTAAGTGATAAAATGATTTTGTTTTCTTTCTCTTTAAGAAGGTCAGTTTTATTTGCAATGCTAGAAATTGAACCCAGGGTCTTGAGCATGTGCTGTACCACTGAGCTATACCCCAAAACCCCTTAATTTTTCTTCGAAGAGATAGGGTGTTGCTATGTTACCCAGGCTAGCCTCAAATTTCCGGGTTTAAGCAGGCCTCCTGCTTTAGCCTCCTAAGTGACTGGGACTACAGGTATACACCACCATATCAGGGTAGGAGAGTTCTTTTGAATTATTTTTCATATTCCATATTATTGCTTTGGTTCTCTTTTTCAGGGCTTGCCATTATAGATGTATCTATTGATTTGTCTGTCACTTAAAAATACATCTTCTTTTTAAAAATAAAAAGTTTTATTGAAATATAATTTGCATACCATAAAATTAACACTTTTTTTTTTTTTGGTACCTGGGATCAAACTCGGGTCCTTGCAGTTGCACAGCAGGTGGCGAAACCACTGAGCTAAATCCCCGGCCCCTAAAATTAACACTTTTAAAATGTACTGTTAGTGGTTCATGGTATGTTCACAGAAGTATGTGCTATTATTAGTATCTAATTTTACATTTTCAAATTTAAGAAATGGTCTACCCATTAGTAATTTCCCTTCCTGTTGCTCCTAGAGTCCACTAATCTCTATGGATTAACAATTGACATTTTATGGACAACTCATGAAATCATGCACTATGTGTATTGCTTCTTTCACTTTATGTAATGTTCTCAAGAGTCAACCATGTTGTAGCATGTGTCACTACTTGGTTCCTTTTAGGGCTGAATAATAGCCCATTGTGTAGATATACTGGTTTTTGTTTATCCATTCATCAATTGGTAAACATTTGGGCTGTTTCCACTTTTGGGCTATTACAAGTAAGGCTACTTGGAAACACTTGTGTGTAGGTTTTTTGTGTGTGCCTATGTTTCCATTTCTCTGGGATATATACTTAGGGGTGGAACTGTTGGGTCAAATGTTTAGCTCTAATTAGTATTTGAGGAAGTGCCAGGCTATTCTTCAAACTAGCTGCACTATTTTATATTCCTGTCAGCTAGATATGAGGGTTCTGATTCTTGGTGATCATGATTATCTCCCCTGCCAGGTTAGTGAGGGTTCTGATTTCTCATATCCTCACCTACACTTTTTATTATCTTTTTTATCTTAGTGGCCTAGTAGTATGAAGTGCTATCTCACTGGTTTAAATTTGTATTCTTCTCATGACTAATAATGTTGAACATTTTTTTCATGTGCTTATTGGCTATTGTTATAGATGTGAGTCGCTTATTAGCTATATGGCTTACAATTTTTTTTCCATTGTGTCGGCTTCTGTACTTTCTTGATATCATATGAAGCACAAAAGTATTTAATTGTGATAATAGACCAGTTTATCTACATTTTCTTTTGTCCCTCTAGCCTTTGGTTTTGTTTCTACTTCTGTACTTTAAGAGTTTTATTGTTTGGCTCTCTCATTTGATCTGTAATGCATTTGATTTAATTTCTATTCATGACATGAAGGAGGGGTCCAACTTGATTTTTCATTTTTTGAGAGGGTTTTTTGCACATATATATGCAGTTGTCCCAGTATCGTTTGTTGAAAAGATTTTTTTCCCTTGTTGAATTATCTTGACACCACAAAAAACCTCAATATGGAATTTGACCAAGATCTTTTTCTGTTGATTATTATTTACTAGTAAAATAAGATGTTTTGCAGTTTTAGGAAGGAAAGAATGAGCAAGAATTGCTCTCTTAGTCTAAGTTAAAACTTTATTTTCAGTGTTTTTTTAAAAGGAGGATACATCCAAACATGTTTATATGCTACATTCTGAAATGTGCCTTTCTGTTCCTTTCCATTTTTATCTGAACCTTCTCTTCCTTTGTCCCTTTTAATCTGTATTTCATAACTTGAGCCATTTCTCTTTGGTAAGACTTTATTTTGGAAGGGAGCTTTGCTTTGTTAGTTTTGAGGGTTAATGGGGCCCAGAATGCATCATCGGACCTTACTTACATTATGCTGTAGTCTGCTCACATTTATTTATCAGTGGGATGATGGCAGCTCCTTCCTAGTTTCTGCTCTTCTCAGACTGGCTCATCATGCTGTCCTGAGCATGTTCTGTCAACAGGTTTTTCTGTGTTCCAGCTATCACACTCTCATGCCTGCCCCTACATCTTCCTGCACAAATGCTGATACCATGTAGGTCTAGTAATTGTCAAAGATTTGTTTTCACCAGGGATTTAGCTCAGTGGTTCCACTGCCTTCCCCGCAAGCGCAATGACCAGAGTTCCATCCCCAGTACCAAAAAAAAAATATTTGTTTCCCCCTGCTTATGTTTGGGCTTATCTCCTGATTTTGCTGTAGGCATTGTGAATCACTGGTTTTGCCATCCTCATTGTGTTACCTGGTTTCATAGGGAGATTTAGGAGAGATTCAGAAAGTACACTGTCACTGCTATCATCGTCCCAGAATCCTCTCACTGACAAATGTTTTAAAGGATGGTCTATATCTTTTCAAATAGAATGACATCTACAAGTTAAAAATCAAATGCAGTCCAGTAGTTGCTTCTTAGTTTAATGCCAGATAACTTTACAGTGAAACAAATTACAGCAACTCTAAATATCATAAAATGTGTACCTGTTGAATGTATGTCATTTCTTCAGTGATATAGTTTAATAATTTGTGTGTTGTGTTCTGTTTTGACTGTGTTAAGAATCAGCTTTTCTCTTTCAGAATAACAAGCCTCTGTATTCATTTGAAGATAATTCAGACTATGTTTATGATGTTATGTGGTCACCCACCCACCCAGCCTTGTTTGCCTGTGTGGATGGCATGGGGAGACTGGATTTATGGAATCTCAATAATGACACAGAGGTGAGCAGGAAAATAACAAAAATTGCACTGAAAAATAGAAAATTGGAGATTTATTGAATAATTTGTGAAATTCCTTTTATCCCAAGGAATGTAAAAGTGTTCTATGATTGTAGCTTCATCAAAGAAACCCAATAAGCTTTGTACCCTAAATGACAAACAGCATACTGTGCTGAACTGAAGGGAGAAATAATGTTGTCATGAGTACTGGGGCATTTCCTCTTGCTTCTGAAAAGCATTAGTGTCTCTGATGTCCTGGCAAAGTCTCATTCATAAGGCAACTGGAATATTTTTCATTCATAGGCTAGAAAGCAGATAGTTTGAGTCTCAAAGCATGTTAACCTTAATTCTGAATTTCTGAATTACCTCTTAGCCTTGAAGAATTGTGTATCATCCATAAGTATTAGTCTTAGCCTGACTTGTGTGAATGAAGGAAAATGTATTTTGATTTTTTTCCATGAAGGATTGAGATCAGCATTACTGGCCAAATAAAAAGAATGCAGAAAGCATCAAATTTCTAATTGTTACATTAAAATCATTCATTAGCAGTAACATTTAACCTTCACCTATCATCTATTTTTAGCCATGTTTTTAGAGAGGCTTATTTTCTTAGATTTCAGTTTTGCTGTTGGTTAAGAGAAGTAATGTTAGCAGTTCCATCAGTAATAGTTGTTGAAGAAAAGGTCACTTGGTGCTTTCTCTCACATCTCATATTTCTGGTGGCATCTTTCCTAATCGCTTTAAGTAAAATAGTTGGTTATACAAGGCCAGGGCGGTTGTATGTTACAAGTGTAAGAATTTTAACATAGTATGAACTTGTCTAGTAGTTTAGAAAGGTACTACTAGGAAAAGGTATTAAGCCATAGTCAGGTGATTGGATTTGGTTATTTTCGCGTTACCTAGAATGGCACCAGTTCTTAGTTTTTATTTTGGTACCAGAGATCTTTGGTTATTATTAAATGTAGATCTTTAATATTAACTCAATATATCAAAATGTTTCTTTGTGACAATTTTTGGCTAATCATTAGAGAAGATCAGTGTCAACCTTAAGGATCATTTTGGTCAGATTTCAAAACTTTTTAAACATTCCATTGTGCATTTCAGCCTGAATCAGATGTTGAAGGTTTGCTTCATGTACAGCAAGTAAATCTTTTTCCTCTGCGTAGGGAGTGGCACAGTGAAATTCCAAGGGGCTGGTGCTGTCATGTTGGTGCCATCATCCTGCTTTCCTCAGCCAGTTCACAGGAGTAAGAGGCTTTGTAAAGACCTGTTCTGCACCTTCACTAGGAACTGTGGACCAAATATAGGTTTTAGCCGTCAAAGAAGCAGGCTACAAAAATAATTCCTGTCCTCTTTAAGTTGAGCCATGATCTCTTTATGAGAGCTTCTGAAATGTTTTCTTTGTAAATGGGTTTTGGCCATATGTTTTCAAACAGCTTTGACTACTTAAGTTAAACAACAAAAAAATCCTTTATTAAACAGAAGATCTTTCAAAATGATATATGTAGTCCTGTAAGAATTTCTTATATAAGGACTTGTCATTTTCCCAAACCATTTTTAAGGATTGACTATAATGTCATCCATAATGTATCACTGAACAGAAAGAAACTTGGGGAAATTCTTTATCTATTTTCATCTGTTTTTTAAAAACATGCCAGATTGAAAGAAGAATTGCTGTTTTACATGTTTATAGAAATTTTGATGAAACTTTTAACACTGCACTATATTTTAAATGACTTTAGGTACCAACTGCCAGCATTTCTGTGGAGGGTAATCCTGCTCTTAATCGTGTAAGATGGACCCATTCTGGAAGAGAGATTGCCGTGGGTGATTCTGAAGGACAGATTGTTATATATGATGTGGGAGAGGTATGGGACTTGGTGCCTGTGATTCTGATACATCTGTGTAGTGGCTAAACCTTGTCTTCATGGTTCATGAATTGTATAAACCATATGGTTGCATACTTCGCACCACAGAAGCAACTCTTGAAATTAATTTCCTTTCTAAACTGGATCTTCTGTGTCCCCGTTTAACAGATTTTGAGAGTAATACAATATGTTGGAAGGACCCTGTTGCTTGAAGCATATGTTGCTAGAAATTAGAAATTCTTCAGGCAGAAGAAATGTGGAGTTATAGATGGACTTTGGTATTTTACAGAATTGATACTAAGATTTTATTATTCTACATTCATAGATTTGTTTCACCAGATAGTAGAAACCAAAAGAGCTATGTTTTGAGAGTTATCTGATGGCGGTGGGAAATGTGAATTTTGAGCCTTGATGCAAAGCCATTATAATTGGATTCAACAGGATGAGTTGCAGCTTTTAGCTTCAGTACACAATGCCTGGGGTTGATCCCTGGCTAGTGCCTTAATCACTTTTTCTTCTGCTATGGTCATGATTTCACATCCTGTCTAGATCCCCATGGCCTCTAGCAATTCCAACTGGAGGTAGACTGAATCATTTTAGAAGAGCCAGTTGAACTGTCTGCACTGTCAAATATCCACTGGCAGAGTGTTGCTGTTGAATAATTAAATGTGGATAGTACAACTTTTAATTTTAATTAAATGTAAACAGTCACATATGGCTAGCAGCTACCTACTGGGTAGTATAGACTTAGAAGCAGGTATGTACATTTGCCACAATGAGTGCTTTGTGCCCTATCATGGCAGTGTCAGACTCTCATAATGTAGTTATCAAAAGCCTTTATAATTGGACTGCCTCTGTGAGGCAGAAGCACCACAAGCTTTTTTGTCCCTTCTGCCTCTGATATATCAACACTAAATGGTAAGTAGTAGCATAGCTTCTGATGAAGGAAGTAGGGGATCAAGAAAGGTTATGCTCCCAACAAGAATAAATACATCTAAGAAATGAACTCTTGCAAACCATGTTTTGAAACTGTTTCATAATAGGGATGACGCAAAACTGAAGTTAAATTTTTAAAGGAATTCCTTTCCATCAGCAAAATCCTTAAGATGGTGCATAGGAGTTTCATTTACAAGGCATCATTGTTATTCTCTCTCGCACTGATGGTGATAATAGCAAAGTCATTTCAAAGGCTGTCACAACATCAGAAAAACCTTCTTTTGTTTTGAAATGTTATAAATCATTGTTATAGTCACTGTCATTGTGGAAAGGCCATTCAGGTCAATTATCACTTTTTAGTGGAAAAAATTATTAGAAAACAAAACTGAGTAGTAGTAGATAAGATGGTCTTTTATTTCAGTGTACATAAGACATTGTCTTTCTTTTAACAGCAGATTGCTGTTCCCCGCAATGACGAATGGGCGCGGTTTGGCCGAACACTTGCAGAAATTAATGCAAACCGAGCTGATGCAGAGGAGGAAGCAGCTACCCGAATACCTGCTTAGTTCTTGGAAAGGGGAATGTAGTCTTAGTGGATTTGTGGAAAACACTTAAGTAGATTCTAAGACTATTTGCATGCTTCTGTCTGAATGATAATTAAAAGAAAATTTCATGGATTAATCTGTGGATTTAATGCAGCAAGCAAAGCTTACAATGTCTTTTTATATTATACACATTTTGTTTTGGATTCGTGTCATTTTTAATACAACTGACTTTACAGAATGCAGCTTTTTCTGAATTCTAATGCACAGGTGTATATTTAGTAATCTTTTGAATCTTTTCAATTTATAACACTACAGTTATTTCAAAAGCACAGATTAAATAAATCCTACATATTTTTAAATAATCCCAATTCCTGTTACACTGATAATATTTTAACCATAATGTGTAGGAACATTGTTCTTCATCACAGCATGTAGACACTTATCCAAGTTCCATTCTAACATCCTTGTCTTTATAGTTCAAGTAGTCATTATCTAAAAATAAAAACAAACATACTAACTTTTCAATGTTCATTTTTACTCCTTGCAATTTGAATTTTCCATCTTTTTTTATAAAATGTCTTTTATTATTATCCTTCTTAAGCCCTGCTGTGAGCAGCTACTTTGAATCCTGAAAAGCTTTGTGCCTTACATATACCATCCAGGGCATACTACAGATTTCCCTATGCATTATGAACTGGTGTTTGGATAATCTGTCAGTGAAGTTTCCCCTATATTAACTTTTGCTGTACTACCTTATTTTCTTGCTATCCATATTGAAAGGATAAGTGGAAAGCTCCTAATGTTTTTACTAATTGAGTCTACTGTGCATGTGAGCTCTCTGAGTAAAGTCTCCTTTGAGACTGACTGATTTCATGGTTGTGGTAGTGATAAAGGAAGGCACAGTGCTGAGATGACCTGTGCTTTGGCATTTTAGCAGCTCCACACACCTTGAGATCTGTAACCCTACCTTTCTCTACAAGTCTGAAAGGTCGGTGATGAATACCTAACAATTAGTGTTGAAATCAACCAATTTTAGGGTTAGAGAAATGTATTATGATCAGATCTTGATTTGTAGCCGCTTTAAACTTGCCATCTCCTTTGTTGGGACCTTTTGAATAAAAGACAAGCTTTAGATAGACAAAAGAACTTGAACTAGGAAGGAAGATTAGAAATCAGAATTTGAACATTTTAATTCCAATAAAGATTTACTGTGAGAGAATTCTAAATAATAACAGAACGTCTTAACTATGAGTATTCTGCAGCATAAAGAATAGTTGACCTAGAATATTAGACCCCGATTCTAGTTCTACCTCTGGCACCTATAAGAAGTCAGATTTTGGCCAAGCCTGTGCCTCATTCCTTAATCAAGGAATTAAGTTCAAATTAGATGATTTCTGAATTTCCTTCCTGCTCTAAAATTATTAATTGTATTAATTACACCAGGCACTTTTCATGTTTGTATATTTAGTTTTCCTAAATTGACCCCTGTAATTCCCCATTATTTGCCAAAGATAACATCTCAAGTTATTTCATGGCAGCAGTGTCTTTAAAAAGTTCAACTGCAGCAAGGTCACACTGTGTAGAAAAATGCATGTCATTGTAATAGCTATTGTATTTTTGCCCTCAGTTTGTAAGAATGACTAGAAAAAGAGAAAACATAACTAAAACACAATGTTACATAAAGTTGAAAATCAAGAGATGTGACGAACCATGGGACTCAAGTTTTGTTCAATTATAAAAGAAAATAAAATTGGTAAACTTGTAAAATACCACTAAAGAATTTTTGCTTTGGGAGAATAATTACTCCTCTTTCCTCCCAAAACCTTAATGTAGACCTTTGCTTATTCAACTTTAATATATGTTTTTAGACACACATGAATTTATTATAAGGAATTAGCTCTAAAGCTAACTGTAATAGAAAAGAAAGTACTATACTGAGACACACAATTGACATAGAATCTTCTAACAAAATTAAGTTAACAAGAAGTATATCAGCTCTTTATACTTTTAAAAATGAAAGACATGAATTTTGAAAGAATAGTTATAGAAATTGTAAAGTTGTTAATCACTTACTTTTTTTGAGCAGAAAAGAAGTTATAGCTCCCTGGCTAGCTTTGCTTTGTTTCTCTCTTTTGAAAGGGAAGTTAATTTTTTTACCATTATTTATGTTGAGGAAGGATAGTTTTACAGGCAATAAATAACTTGCAGTAAATCTCTGAGGTCATTTTTTGGTATCGTTTAAACCAAATATTGACTGGTAGAAGCTTTCTTCCTCTTACAGATACAGTTCCCTCTACAGTGTTTGGAAAATCTCCTCATATTATTGTGGTTGCAGTAATGCTGGGATACTGCACTGTGAAGGAATAGATGACTTAAAGGTATAGGATGAGGAAGTAAAGTAGTTTCAAGGATGACTGATCCTAGTCTTTCAGTGTTAGAAAAAGGTTGATTTATTTCTGTTCTGTACTAGTACAGGAAAAGCATCTGAACCATGTGGAAATGAAGGGCTTGAATGAATAAATGAAATCTGCTATGAAGCATATCATTTTTCCTCTTCCCTTCCTAATGGGCATGCATTTTAAATATCATTTCCACAATAGTATTTCAACATTGGCATTGCACCGATTTTCTAAATAGGAAAAGCTGGGTAATTAGATGTATGTTATCGAGAACAGAGCTCCAGCTCCACCTCCAGCGGCTGGTTGGCTTCCATGTGGTGTTACGTACCTAACCCATGGGAGTGACTCTTAAGGTACAGGGCCTGCTGCTCTGCTTCTTTTGATGACTTGGTGATGGAATGCCAATTCAGTTTTTTTCTTTTTTGATAATCCAAGCTGTATAATGGCAATAAAGGAGTTCTTGCTTTCCAGCTAGGGACCTCACAGCTTTGGGGAAAATACTCCCTAGTAGAACCTTATATTTGACTCAAAAATTATAAATGCTAGGAGATTAGAGATCAGGATCTGAGGACTTTTAGTTCTATTGAAGAAACCAGAGTTGCCCCAAAAACAATATTAAAAGAACATCCACATTCATTATTTCTTTTCAGTGGAGAATTGCACTTCAGAACATTCTTTTAACCATTATCTTTGGTCTTACTACCCCAAAATGTTAATAACTCACTGTATTATATTTTCAAAATCCTTTTCTTACACAAGAAAGAGTCAGTTTTGGAAAAAGATCCAAACCGGGTGTGGTGGTACACACCTATAATCCCTGTACTCGGGAGGCTCGGGCAGAAAGATCTCTGTGAGTTCAAGGCCAGCCTGAACTACATACCAAGACCTTGTCTCAAAAAACAAAAAAAAAAAAACAGAGGAAAAAAGATCCTACAGTCCTAAACAGAATGTCAATTGCAGCCAAGGCAAGACTGCACTTGCCTATAATCCCAGCACTGGGAGGCTGAGGCAGGAATATCACAAGTTCAAGCTCAGCCAAGGCAATTTAGCAAATTAAGAGAGACACTGTCTCGGCAGGGGTGGGGAGGTGGGGGTACTAGGGCATGGCTCAGTGCAAAGGCCTTAGCTTCAGTCCCGAGTTCCACAGTGGGCAGGGTGCCAACTGCCAGACTGAACAGCCACCACCTTGTAATGCTTTTTCACCACAGGCCAAGGCTCTCAGACCTTTTGTTGGACTTTTGGTATTTAGATTCTCCTTCTGCCTGCCATGTTCACAATGCCATAACTTCTAAAAGTTCAAATGGATGTCTAGTATACAAGTTTTTAATATGTAGCTTCTAGCTACAGATAAGTTTCGACACAGCCAATCAGCAATCTTTCACAAACTTTTATAAAATTACAGTATTTTGTGTTGTTAGTTTCATAGCAGGAATCTCAGTTTGGGCTTTTTAATATTCCATTACCAGTTCCCAGTCAGAGGATGGAACAGCTTGTGCTCAGATAAGCTTCCTGAAAGGCCTATTTCCCTTTGTGAGGTCACTTATTCAGGCAGGATGAGGTATTATCCTGCTTCTCTTAGGAGGTACTTGATTTGGTCAGAAATCTGTGAGGCCGTGATTGTATGGGGTGCGCAACACCCTGCATCGCACCGAACATGCAGAGCCCTGACACTGACTTGGAATCAGGTACACCACCAGGAAGTCTTTGATAGCAAGTAATTGTGTGTCTGGTGAGTTTTCGTACTAGATTTTTTAAAGTACTTTTTTTCTGAACAAAATAATGGAAATGCATTGGAAGAAAATTTCTTATATTTAGGGTGGTCTGTATAGGAGGAGGAGGAGGAGTACTGGGCTCATGATCACTGGGACACATCACTTCTGTTGTCTGTTAAATGAGGAAAATACTTGCTTCCTGTGACAATTAATGAGAAGGTGTATGTGAAGACTTTACACATTATAAAGTACTACAGAAATAAGGGCTTTTATTATTTTGATTTTTTAAGAATGGAGAAGAGACCATTCTGTGAAGATTTTGTGCAATGTAAACAGAAGGCTCATCTAGGCTAGGCGTGGTGGCACACGCCTATGATCCCAGCGCTCGGGAGGCTGAGGCAGGAAGATCACTGAGAGTTCTAGGCCAGCCTGAGCTACATAGTGAGTTCACAGCCAACCTGAACTACAAAGCGAGACCCTGTCTCAAAAAAAAAAGAGAATAAAAACAAGGCTTATCTTTGAAGGATTCAGGAGCATGGTGTTCATGAAATTGTTTTTGAATTCTAAAAAAATCTCAGCACAGTTTAAACCCTAAGAACAGTCCTCTGATGTTTAGGAATAGCAGTGAACCCACTGGAAAATATTGCTATTAATCATGGATACTTTTCCTAGAAATGTCTTCTCTCTCTACATTCTATGGTAAAGTTAGCATTAAGTAGAAAAAAAAAATGACCCATTCTGAATTTCCAGCCTGTACCAACTGTTGTTCTTACATTAGTTCCATACATATCCAGAGCCTTATAAAAGAGGAAGTAGAACTACCTTTTGAATCTGTAAGAAAACAAACTTGCTTCAATACTAATTATATTAAAAGAAAAAAAAAAAAAGACTGCACTACAGCATAGTAGCAGAACCACAGTCACTTCCTCAAAAATCTGGGGAACAAACTGTTCTAATTTCTGTAGTACCCTTCCTCTGTGCTGGGGTTAGTCCCCTTGGAAACAACACATGCATACTTCTGAGCAGATCACAGAGGAGCCTGGCTCCACGGGTAACAGTGTCTGGCTGTAGTCACAGGAAGCAGTACCATGAATCTGCAACGATCCCTCTCTATAATAATCTTCCTCACAACTGGACTGGCAGCTCCTTGCTCTCTTACTGTATCCAAAATATGATTTCCATCCAGACAGATGTCAAAACCTGATAATCAGAAACACCAACTGAATACGAAGTTGGTAAAATGACTAAGCCCTTACTTATGGGCCTCACTTTCATTAATGTTTGATACAAATCGTGAATTTGTTAGTACATTAAGGATCATTAGATTTGGAGGATGACCTCATCTTCCAAAGCTAAAAGAAATGACTTTAGTGTTCTTGAAACTCAAGAACTACTTAAGTAGTATTTTTATCAATTGAGAAGGACGTTTTGTGCTGAAAGTCAGATAAGGAGTATAGTGTGATAAAAAGACTGGCCCCATCCTCTCTGTTGTAAAATGAATGCTATAATATCATCGGTGGTGCAAGAGAATAACTGGCTTAATACATCTCCATCAGTATGATGCTGTGCTTTGGTTGGATTTGTAACTGTGAGGAAACAACTGACCTAAACCTTAACATTTGGTTGGTAGATTTACCCTTACAAAATAGAGTGGTCCTGGGATTTCTAGTTCCAAGAGACTTGGACTTAGAGAATGTATGTTGAAACTCGACTCTTCTTTGGGCAAATGGACTTACCTCGCTAAGCCTATTTCCTCATCTATTCTCAAGGTAGTTATAAGAATTAAACCTGAATATATATATATATATATATATATATATATATGGAAATGCATGCTAAACTATCAAGCACCACACAAATACAAAAATAACCTTCAGCAGAGTCACTGTTCCACAGCAGCTCATACTAGTGATAGGCTCTGTTTCTGGACTGCAAGAGGTTGGAAACAGGCTCTTTCTTAGAAATTCACAGGTCTCTGCTGACATAGCTGCTTTACTACACAGGCCTTTGTGATCAGTTAGGATTCCCTTGTAATCTTTATCTTAGCTTTTTCATTCTGCTTCCTCTGCCAGGAGAGACTACTAAGTCATTATAAGTTTCACGGAAACAGAGTTGGGAACAATACAAGCACTTACTCAAAGGTCTTGTACCAAGAGTATGTACTTACTGGAACTATACGAATGTTTCCAAAGTTATCGTCTCTCCTGCCTTATAAAGAACTGGCCTGTACATTTTGACCATGTAGTGACAATAACTTCTAAAACTTACTGAGCATATTTTAAATGATCATGTATGTACATATACAAATTCTCATTTATCCTGGTTCTCTTATGATTACTGTTTACAGAAGAGGAAAGTGATTTGAACCAACTTCTGTGGGCCTCATTGGTAGCCTGTTTCCATGGCATAAGTGCCCCTACCATAGCCAGCTGTTAACTATCAGTATGATGTCACTGAACATGGAATTGGGAGGGTATATAACAGGCTCTCAGTGAGCTGCTGCAAGCTGGAGCCAGCATGTTCCAGGGTTTGGGAACCTTAAGTGACTGTAGTGTAGGCACTAACCCAGGCAGCCTGGGTTTCAGAGCAGTATGCATAATTGTTTTACACTTTCTTGATGATCCCAGTCAACCAACAATTCAGCTGTGGGCTTTGGGGGTTGTTTTGTTTTCAAGACAAGAATCTCACTATACTGCCTCCCTTGGGTATCTGGAGTAACCGGCGCATGCCACCACGCCCAGTAAGAATTCAGTGTTTTACTCAGATAACCCTACACACAGTGAGTGATATGTGTTTAAAGACCCTAAAGCATCTCCATATGAAGAGAATTCAGATTAGTCTTCTGGCTTCCAGGAAAGTGGTTCTAGAAATTTTTACTCTGATTAGCTCAAACTACTAGAATAAGCAGGTTAGATACAGGAATAGAAGTTTCCACTGGTTGAAAAATATGGCAGTAGCTATGAAGTACTTACCTACAATTGCACAGAACTCCTTTATGGCCTCTCAGCTGCCTGAGCCCACTCAGAAGTGGCTACCTTTCTCCTTCTTGGGCCCTGAGAAAATAAGTAAAAATCTTTCAGTTTTATAAGCTGAATGAGTATTATGTTCACAACAACATGCAAGTTCGGCTTCAATTTTAGTGCACAGTCTCCTCAGAATTCTGTGCCAGAAAATAGCAGCCAGCAGAAAACCAGTCCACAGCCACTGCCTTCCTCCTCCACCGTCAGCTCCATACTGAAACACTCGTGGGTTCTTCGATCTACATGCCTAAGTTTTGTTGACATCCCTGCAAATAGCCAGCCCTTGGCCACTTCGTTTGTGTGAATTTGATGGATGTGGGCCAGGGGAAGAAACCCCATAAGCCCCAGAAGCTGAGCTGTTTAGACAGGAAATTCACAGGCCCAATACCTTGAACATAGGGTAAAAGGGAACAACATTGGTTTCAAGTGGGGGGGTCCTGTTCACCCTGTGGACTTTTTGCCCCTTGGGGAAAGGCACAGGTAGGCACAGGACTCTTGTTTCAAGAGACCTTCTAATATGAGGCAGCTAAGGGCAGTGCTGGGCCTGTTTTTTCTCTTAAAAACAGCTGACTCATTTAAAAAGATATTTCTCTTGTCCCTAATCTGTTATTTTTCTAATGCAAATAATACTGATTGTCACTAAATACTTTTTCATGACCCCTAGAAATTAGTTTTCATCACTGATGGGTCTGTCATGAAACTTCCATACTAGGAAGCAGAGAACGATGTTTCAATAGAACCTTGTAAATTAATAATTTCTGTGAATGTCTAACTGTACATTACATGCTATAACTATAGAATCATCCCAGGAGACACTTCAACACTAATTCTTTTTTTTTATTTTCAATCCCACAAATTTAATATAGCACTTGTTAAATTATCATCATTAATCAGGCTGTGTTTTGTTTTTTGTTTTGAGAATAGTGATTATGCTTTAATTCATTTCTAAACCCAGCACAATGGATCACACAGTAGGTGCTCAATACATGGCTGCTGATTTATTCATATATTTTTGGAATGAGCTACTTTCCAATGAAGCTTTAATAATTTAGACTTAAAAAGTGGTTTCTTAATGTTTGGTTTACTGACCCCAAATTCTATATTGAGTTAAAAATTGCAATTAACGCATGTAATATTTTATGACTGACAAAATGCTTTTCATAGTTCCTGATTCTTTTTTTCTTTATATATCCTTTTATTGGTACATTTTAGGTATACAATATAATGACATTCATCATTGGAAATTTGCACCTTTACATAATCTCTCTTGGTTCTTATTTTT